GTTCACCGTCTCATCGCAGGAAGGCATGAGGACATTCAGAGTAGCAGCAGGACCATGAGGTGGCTTGCTCAGATCTCAGTGGCTGACCAGGAAGCAGAGAGCTCCAGGCCAGAAGCACCAGACTGTAACCTGCATGGCCCTCTCCCCAGGGACTCACTTCCCCAACTAGATTCCACCTCTTCAAAGCCCCACGACCTCCTGAAGCAGTGCCACAACCTAGAGACTAAGAGCTCAACACATGAGTCTGCTGAGTACATTCCATGTGCAAAGCACAGTGGGCTGAATGCGCAGCATCTCAGTCTGGAAGCTGCCCTCTATGGGGAGCTATAGCCTTCACAACTCACTGGCCACTGCAGGAGACATACCCTGATGCACTCGCTGCTATCCAACACCATATATTACTTCCTCAGAACTTCTAAGACATACATGGGTAAGGCAGCAGTGGGCTCTGCTGCTAAACCACTGTCATTGTTAGCTTCAGCTGTCAATTTGAAACAAACCTAGAAGGAATACCTCATTTGAGGAATTGCCTCTATCATATTGTACAACATTTTTTTTTATTGATTGATGCAAGAAGGCCTGGTTCACTGTGGGCTGTGCTACCTCTGGGAAGGTAGGCCTAAGCTGTATAAAAAAGTAACTGAAACATGGGTTTGGGTGTAAGCCAGTAAGCAGTGCTCCTCTGTGGTCTCTGCTTCAGTTCCTGTCTCTAGGTTCCTCATTGTGCCTCTGTCCTGACTTCCTTTGATGATGATGCAATAAACCCTTTCCTTCCCAAGTTGTTTTTTGTTTGTTTGTTTGTTTCTGAGACAGGGTTTCTCTGTATTGCTTTGGCCTTGAACTCACAGAGATCCACCCACCTCTGCCTCCCAAGTGCTGGGATTAAAGGCGTGCACCACCACACCCAGCCCCAAGCTGTTTTTTGTCATAGTATCACAGCAACAGAAAGTGAACTATGCCAATATCATGGAAGAAAATAATGCAATCACATTGAGCCTATTTCTGAGGCAGAGTCACTGTCCATACAGGAAAAAGGCTACCCAGAATTGGGGGTTACACACACAAAGAAAGAATCAAGACCACCAACAAAAAGAGACAGGGTGAATAATTCTTCCAGTAAGGTTATAAAACTTCAGAAGGCAAAGCCTAGCTAACAGACTAGATTGTCGGGAGATCTTGAAGGTTCTACTTACTAAAGGTTCAAGCCTAATCTCTCTGTGCACTACCCAGCAAGATGTGAAAAGCTCCCACTTCCATAGACCAGCCTCTCCTCTCCATGCCTTCCCTACCATAATATATACTTGTGCTCTCTGGAACTGTGATCCACAATAAACCCATTCTCCTTAAACTGCACTGTCACAGGGGTGAGGAAGGTGGCCAATTCAGCTTAGCATGGAGGCCAATATTCCTCTTCCTCACCATGGAACCTTCCCCAGTCAACCTCAAGGCTGGCAAGACCTTCACCAGTCCCAGATGAGCCTGACATACTGAAATAGTACTTCCACAAATGCCTGGGCAATGGAGTGCCAGACTGGAATGGTGAACTCATTAAACAATGAATACTTACAAAGTGGAAGTGTTAGCTACTGAAATTAGCTGAGTTGTTGATATATCAGGTAAGGTATCAGCCTTCAGGACATGGCAATCCCAGAAGCCGAGAGGATATGCTAGAGAATTCAGGGACAGAGGAATTTCCATGGGGTAGACCTGCAGCAGTGGTGCTGAGAAGGTAGGGTTTCCAGATGGACAACTGGAGACCCAGGAGACAGAGTGGGGAGTGGAGTGTGATCCAATGAGGCCAGACACTGGCAGCAGGAAACACAGACTGGTCAGACATATGAGGTAACCTGCAGGACCTGTTATGAAGCCAGGTGATCACACAGGCAAGACAGCTAAGCTGGGCCCTGGGGAGTGGTCACACATTTGGGGCTCAGAGCCTATCTTCTGTGTGATCCAACCATAGAACAGTCCCAGACATATAGCTTCAGGAAGCAAGTTCTCTCTAGTCATTAATTTGGAAAAACTGTAAATAAGTGAGAAGTGACTCTTAGTGCCATCTCTGCCACTTGAACATAAACACTGTTTAGCAAGTTTACACATTCTTTTGCCTCTGTCTGGAACTGTTAATCACTCTTGTCTTGGCTGCTCAGTATCATTTGACCTAATAATGGTGAGAGCTCTAGGCAACATCTTCAAGGTTAGCATGCTTGCTAATCATGTCAAAAGAAGTCCTTGGTTGATGTTCCAGTTGAGTTACAGGTGTGGACAACTCTTCCTTGCATTTATATGTAACTGAACAATGTCCACAGAAGAGCACATATCATCTAATGTAGGTATGGTAGGATACATTCCTTCAATGTCTCTTGATTGGAAGGGACACAGCCATGTCTGCCAGAAGATGGTGGAGGACATGAAGTGAAGACAGTCCCGCACTTGGCAGATGGAGGAAGATCTCGCCAGCTGAAAGTGTGGCCAGGCCCTTCACTGCTGTGGGGTGGCAGCCAGATGCTTGGCTTCTGACCAAGCTAGGTTCCTTCCACTGCCACCCAGAGTAGCCCTTGACAAGCCACCAACACTCTCTGGGCCTCAGGTTCTTCCTCTATGAAACATTCCTACCATGATTGTCTCTACAACCTGCCAGAATTAAGCAAGCAGGTCTCCCCACTCACTCTGTGGCTTTCCACTTGCACTGACCTTCACCTTTGCAGGATTGGTAGACAGGTGCTGAGCCCCAACTCAACACGTGGGGGCAACTGCAGGTCAGACCTTAGCCAGAGTGAGCGATGTCCCTAAGGGAGCCTTGTGATTTGCCCAGTCTCCTCACAGTTTGGAGTTGGACACCCTGAGAGAGACCAGCCCAGCAGAGGCCACTGTTGGGACCAGACATGCTAAAAGCCCACAGCTGCACTGGTCAAGTAACCAAAAGCTGCAAGCTGATTCATTCCAATCCAGGATTCACACGCGCTGCAGTGGGCTTGGTTTCAGTTTTAGGTTGAACTGTTAGAACTGATCACGACTGGCACCTGTTTTTATTTCCTTCCAAAGCAACATTTTCCTGAGAGGGCAACAGTTCCCCTCCTGCTTCCTAAAACCTGCCTCCTAGTTTCAAGTATCATTTTTGCCACCAAAGGAAGAAAGTGCCTTTTCAGGTCATCCAGGGAATACCTGCAGATGGTCCCCAGGCTTAGTCACTGGCCTGTATTTGTGAAATCATGTATGTATTCTCTTTCTACTCTATAAGCTACCCTTTCTACCCAAAAGTCACTATTTGCTTTCTGAACTATTAAGCAAATCTCAAAAATACACAGAAGAAGCTGGGTGTTGGTGGCGCACGCTTTTAATTCCAGCACTTGGGAGGCAGAGGCAGGTGGATCTCTGTGAGTTCCAGGCCAGCCTGGTCTACAGAGTGAGTTCCAGGACAGCCTCCCAAACAATACAGAGTAACCCTGCCTCAAAATACCAAAAAAATACACAGAATACACAGAAGAGGTGTCATTGTCATCCATATGAAAACATGCCAGTGTGACACGCAGCCACTCATCTGAACATTTCACTCATGACACAAGAAGAGGCAGCTTGTATGAAACTGTTCTTTGAGTACAGACTGGACAGGGGTATGTGCTGGGTCTCAGGAGCCTGTTCCTACACAAGGGAATGGAAAGACCAAAGTCCAAGATTGGAAGGAGTTTTATACATCAAACAAGCACTGGATGGGCAGTTCAAACTTGTAGGAAACACTGAGGAAACAAGAGGTGGGGTCAGCCTTGCTACCTCATGATCAAGTGGGAAGAAAGAAAGATGCAGCATTGCAGCACAAAACTAGAAAGGAGAAAATCAACCCACATTTGCCTGGCAGAAGAGTTCTCACAACCTTCAACCCACTTGTCTGTAAGAACACTCCTCCAGAGACCCACAGCCAGAAAGTTTCTGGAGGAATGGGATGACAAGTCCAAGAAGTAGCCAACAATGGTGTGAATTCTAAGAGCTTCCTGACTTCAAGCTAGAATTCCTGAGCCCAGCCCCAGTGGTCAATGCTAGCTTGGTAAAGTCAGCCTGCCTATACTACACACAGCAAGAAGAACTCTCTATGCTTTGTCACTGCCCAACAGGCAAGATATCAGATGCTCTATGGAGTTTCTTCCATTGCTGTCTGAAATTTGGGGACCAAACATGAAGAGGCTCTCTCTGGAAAAGTGACCTGTAACTACAGAAGGCTAGTTCTTGCTCATACACTTAACCCAACACTGTGTCTATTTCTCTGGGTGCCAGTTTTATCTGGCACTTTGTCCCCTCTGGATGATTACACCCAATTCTGCAGTACTGCACATCTAGAGTTCTGCATTCCATACACCTTTCCTGCCCCAGGATAAGCACAGCTGGATGGAGGGATGGCATTTGTTGGCCTGAACTGAAATTTCTTGGAAGACTTTGGGGATCCTTCTCATATTTGCTGAAATTCCTGTTTTCACCACCATTTTCCAAGCAACCCATTCTCCTTTTCTATCATAAGGAAACCCCCACAGATAGATCTGTGTTCAGATGGGACAACCACACAAGGACAATGTAGGTACAAAGGCAAGTTAGGGCAACTAGAGGGAGTACACACCCCTTTCCAACTCCCTGAATCTACAAACTACTGAAATACATCAAAAGGAAGTCAATTATGCTAGAGTGTAGGGGTGGGCATGAATGGGCTCAAAGCTCCAGGGTACTTCCTATGCAGCTGAGCACTTTACAAGAGGAGAAAGTGGAGCCAGGAGATATGCTGCTTGCCTTGGTGGGGTCTGTTTACACGCCATGTGGAATGAAGGTCTGCTAACCAGTCCTGTGCTGACTACAGCCAGAAATCAGACCCCAAATGCAGCCTAGGCCAAATGCAGTCTGTCTTTGACACCCCTCCCCCCCCAATCCAGCCAAATAGGAATAGTTGATTTACTTACATATAACCCAACGCCAAACTCTCAAGTCAAAAGAAAATGCTGGGCCAACGTGAAGCTTACCCTGCCTCAGGAGTTCTAGAAGCAGAAGTGCTTTGGCGCTCCCTGTGGCCTCTTGGCTTGGAACTGCGGCTTTCAGAGCTGCTCACATGTCCTGTCCCCAGGGACTTCCTACTGTGGGCATGTGCTGTAGGGCCATCCTCATACCCATTCAATAGGCCTTGGCCAGCTCGGGTTCTTGTCCTCGTTGGCTGACATCCCTCTGATTTGTCCTCTTGTGCTGCCGGGACATCTCGAGCTGGTTTGTATCCATGAGAAATCAGGAGATCTTCCACACTGTACATGGTGCAGTGTCATCAAAACTCACAGGTTTGAACCATCATGGTGGCAGGACCCATCACTGCAAGGACAACAAAGAGCTGCATTTATGAACACCCACACCAAAGTGGACACATACCCTTCCCAGGCCTGCCAGGGATGCATATCTAGACCTTGTCAGAAAGAGATGGGATCTCACTGTGTACCTTATGCTGACCTTGCAAACTTGCAATCCTGCTGCCCCAGGTTTACAAGCACTGGAATCACAAGTGTGCACTACTAGACCAGCCAGGGTTCATGTAAAACTTTTGTCAATCAAATATTTTCACAGTTATTTTGTACCAAGTTTCCTAAGTTAGCCAAGGGTGGCCAGAGGCAAATACAACCTAGAGACCAGCACACTTAGTGGCTCATCCTATGTTAATAGCTAGAGGCATGAAGATCAAAGACAGGGAATGCAGACATCCAATAAGGGAAAAGCAGATGGAGCTGCCAGTCACAGAGACTGGGTCTAGCTCTGGCCTGGGCACCATGGGTTTGGGAGCTCCATCCCCAGCCACTCCATGGGCAAAGGGAAAGCCACTGTGGCCAGAGAAACAATTGTCAAGAAATGTGTGCTGGCCAGCATGCAAGTGTGATGAAGTTGCCTGCACTTCCTGCCAGTAGGAGTTCTCCCTGGGTCCCTGCACTATGCTGCTGATCTTAGGTACATATCTCCCATTAGAACACACAAGCAGAGACATCTCTGCAGTCAGCTTCGGAGTGATCATACTTTGTAGGTCTGAAACTGTGCATGGGGTCCCTCTTGGAAGGTTGGAAAGCTCTGGAAGTTAGTGGCCTCACAGAAAACTCTGTGCCACCATTCCTGACACTACTCTGTCACTTTCGGAGAGTCACAATAGTGTGACTTTCAGGGAGTCACAGATGGGCCATTCACTTACACAGCAAAGAGGGATCCGAGGAACAAGCATTTGTTTTAAGTTAGTTAACAAGGACCTTGGCCATGTGAATGTGGAGGAAGGCTATTTAGCTCAAGATTTTGCTGGCTACATCTCCAGCATCTAGCAATTAGCATGCTTTCTGGAAATACTTGTGGAATGGATGCACGAATGAGAAAGGGGGCACCAGGGCAATGTTTTGAAGAATAGTTAGGAGTTGGACAGATACACTGCATCTGTCACTATAGAAGTGGGAAACTTGGCACTTTAAACAGACTCTGGGTATGATGACCATGGCATAGAGACAGAATCCTGGCGACCCAGAGTAAAGGGCCCATACCCATGAATCTGTGTCTTCAGACAGAGATGGTTGGTTGCATGCAGCCCTTCCTCACAAAACGCCCATGTGGGTCAATGTGCCCCTGGGGTTTGGTAAACCAGTCCAGCATCTTTATTTTCCCATAGTTATATTCAGAAAATACTTCAGCAAGACAATAACCTACTAAAGCAACAGGTCTTTCTGAGGATATCCAGCTTGTCAGAGCCAAAGTGACCTCAGATAACTGAGGTCAAGGGATTGCTGATGTTGAAAGTATTACCTGTTTTCTTCTCTGGGGCCTGCAACTCACAGGAGTGGGAGGAGAGTACAGGCTTCAGTGCTCAGAGCTGAGCCGCCAGCTGACCTGCACGTCTTACCCATAACCCCAAAGGCAACACTGCCATGCAGGCTCATGGGAGACTTCTGTCCCTTAGGTATATGTATTCTTTACCTTGACCCAACTCAGCTTGCCCTCTGCCTCATGTGAGGCCCTGACCCCTCTCCTACAGGTTCCTGTATACTATTACTCTAAAAACACCTGCTCTGTTTGGCTTGCTTCTTTGATGTCACTCCATTTAAAATGGAATGGGCTGCATCAAGAGGTAGCAGTTCTTTTCTACAGACATATTAATTGCAGTATCAACCAAGATAAACCAATGAGGCACCAAGGAGTTTCTATTTCCTTCTAATTCTCAGATACCAACATTGTAGGTCATTATTAATTCTGTCATTCACACACCATCTCAGAGGTGGTTATAAAGACAAACACATTACAAAGGCTAACACACACCAAGGTTGTCACTGTCATAAAAGTTGTTTTGTTTTGCAACCTGGGAAGGTAAGAGTATAGCTAAAACAACACAGAATTAGGCATGATCCAGGGTCTGGTGAGCTACTCTTTTCAGATATAGTCCCTGAAGTGGGTGAGGAACCACCTCAAGCTTTCCTACATGTAAAATGGCAGGAAACAATTTTCCCAGAGCGCTGCACTGTTCTGAAAGCCCAATAAGAACAGGTACACATTACCATGCAAACAAATATGACAGATTATTATGCAGACAATTTCACCATGTGCTTTTGCCATTTTCTGTTTCCTTTGGTATCGTGTGGTATATTGCTCTTGGTACCACCACATGCTGGATACTCAGCCTTTCCAAGAACCCAAGAATAGAATATTACTTTGTAAGAATAAAACATTCATTGTGTCTTTTTGTGGCTTGGGTACCAAGGTAATTGTAGCTTCATGAAAAGAGTTTGGCAATGAAACTTCTACGTCTATTGTGTGGAACACTTTGAGGAGAATTGGTGTTAGCTATTCTTTAAATTTTTGGTAGAAATCTGCAATGAAACCATCTGGCTCTGGGCTTTTGTTGGTTGGCAGACTTTTGATGAAGGCTTCTGTTTCATCAGGGGTTATAGGCCTGTTTAAACTACTTATGTATTCTTTTATTTTGGTAAGTGATATCTATCCAGAAAATTGTCCATTTCCTTTAAATTTACAATTTTGTGGAGTACAGGTTTTCAAAGTATGACCTGATGATTCTCTGGATTTCCTCAGTATCTGTTGTTATGTCCCCTGTTCATTTCTAATTTTGTTAATTTGCATATTCTCTCTCTGCCTTTTGGTTAGTTTGGATAAAGGTTTGTCTATCTTGTTGATTTTCTCGAAGAACCAACTCTTTGTTACATTGATTATTTGTATTGTTTTTTATTTCTAATTTATTGATTTCAGGCCTCAGTTTGATTATTTCCTGGTGTCTACTCCTCTGGGGTGAGTTTGTGTGTTTTGTTCTAGAGCTTTCAGTTGTGCTGTTAATTCTTTAGAGTGACTATTCTCCAGTTTCTTCATGTGGGCACTTAGTGCTACGAACTTTCCTCTTAGAAATGCTTTCAAAGTGTCTCGTAAGTTTGGGTATGTTGTGTCTTCATTTTCTTGAATTGTAGGAAGTTTAATTTCTCTATTTCTCCCTTGACTCAGGAATGGTGCAATTGTGCATTGTTCAATTTCCATGAGCTTGTAGGGTTTCTGCAATTTGTGTTGTTGTTGAATTCTAACTGCACCCAAGCCACACAAATACACAACTAAGAAAGAAGACTACAGACAAGTATCACTTATGAACATTGATGCAAAAATACTCAATAAAATACTGACAAATGGAACCCAAGAACACATCAGAAAAATCATCCACCATGATCAAGTAGGCTTCATCCCAGGGATGCAGGGATGGTTCGACAAACAAAAATCTATCAATGTAATTTACCATATAAACAAACTGCAAAAGAAAAACCACATGATTATCCCACTAGATGCTGAAAAAGCCTTTGACAAAATCCAATACCCCTTCATGATAAAGGTCTTGGAGAAATCAGGGATAACAGGAACCTAGCTAAATATAATCAAAGCAATATACAGTACACCAACAGCCAACATCAAACGAAATGGAAAGAGACTCAGCGCGATTTATTCTAAAATCAGGACAAAACAAGGCTGTCCACTCTCTCCATATCTCTTCAATATTGTACTTGAAGTTCTTACTAGAGCAATAAGACAAAAAGGAGATCAAGGGGAAACAAATTGGAAAGGAAGAAGTCAAACTTTCACTATTTGCAGATGATATGATAGTTTACACAAGTGACCCAAAAAACACCTTCAGCAAAGTAGCAGGATACAAGGTTAACTCTAAAGTATCAGTAGCCCTGCTATATACAGATGATAAATGGGCTGAGAAAGAAATCAGAGAAGCATAACCCTTTACAATTGCAACAAACAACATAAGGTATCTTGGAGTAATGCTAACCAAACAAGTGAAGGACCTGTTAGCAAGAACTTTCAGTCTTTAAAGAAAGAAATTAAAGAAGATACCAGAAAATGGAAAGATCTTCCATGCTCTTGAATAGGTAGGATCAACAGAGTAAAAATGGCAATCTTGTCAAAAGTAATCTACAGATTCAATGCACACAGTTCATTCAATACATCTTTCCTGGTCAGATATGGTGGATCATGTCTCAAAATTCAGGAAGCTGAGACAGGAGGACTGTTCCAAGTGTAAGACCAACCTGAGATATCTAGTAAATTCTAGGTCAGCTGAGATACAATGTTCAGTCCCTGTCTCAAAAAAAGATATTGGGGGGACATCAAGTTAGGATGTGAGTGTGAGGTATCAGTCACAGGCTCATGTGTTTTGGACATTTGTTCTCCAATTGTTGGTCCTATTTTGAGAGGCTGTGGGCATGTAAGGAATAAGGAACAGTCTGGGGGTGAGCCCAATAGGTTTTGGCCCTACCCCAGTTCCTGTCTGAGTTCTATGCTCGCTGACCCACTATGATATGAACAAGTACGTACCTTCACTGCCACAGCGGAATGTGCCCTCTCAAGCATGTGTCAAAATGGAAGTCATTCTTTGATAAATATTTGGTCACAGCAAGGTGACTAGTAACTAATGTGTTTGCCTACATTTGTTTTCTTGAATTAAATGCTAATAAGGAAATACCTAAGAAAGTTATTGAGACAGTTACTATTTCACTTTTTAAGATTGCTGGTTAAGACTAATCAACTTCATGAAGCACTAGTTTGAAGAGCACCAATGTAGATGTCATCCCTCTGATGGTCAGGGTGTCAGGAAAGATGACTTCTGAAGTATGTTCAATAATGCTACTACTCCCTGAGAAATGCCTTGGTCTAACAAGTCCCTTGTTCTCCTCTCAACAGCAAATCAAGCTGTTCTACCTATCAGAATTTGGCTTTTCAAGAAAGGCCATAGCCACCTTGTTCTGCTGCTTTTCTGGTCTTCAGAACACCAAGGGAAGAAGAGACCATTCTCCCTA